ACAATAGCGGGTGCCAAATTGAAGTAGATGCTACTGACTAGTACCTCGTTCTTCGTACCTATACCGCTATTTCTGAAACAGGAAGTTACCGTATGTGATATTACCGGCAGGCTTTCAATCGCCAATCTGCAGAGCAGACACTAACGCGGACATATAGTAGACGATGTACGCGCGCGTCTGATGTTGTTTCGTGAACAGGTCGGGCTATACTAACCCTATTGAAGAAGGCCGTATATTATGTCGTACTTGCATATAGCATGTCGTATAAAATTGGGGCTGAATAGCTTATAGTGTTATCATAGATAACGACTGCAAATACGAAACAGGTCTTAATTTACTAGGGCAATATAAAAATGTCGGTGCTTTTGTTCTACTAATGTTGTCACTGTAGGTACAAGGGTATTTTTTCCGGCAAAGTCAATAGAACAGTCGCTTTATTATATTAGTTATATTAGTCTGTTTTCTCTTCATGAATTCTGGCACCGCCGCTGTACTTCCTTGAGTGTCAATAATTATTGACATTCAAGGAAGACTACATTAGACTATCACTATAACGAGGCTATCGTAAAGCGATGAAAAAACAGTTTTTTAAACACCTGCAAATGAGTTACTTGGGCTCTGCACATCGGTCAGGTTATTTCAACGGGAAATCGTTGTTTGCATGCTTTATTAACACTAAAACCCCCTTTCCTTTGCCTCTTTTACTGCCGTTAGGTAAACTTTCTGAACCTTCAGTCACCAATGCTTCGCAAGCAACAGTTCACTAGAGCAATGAGAAAGTAACTGAACTGCTCTCAAAATGGGCCTTAAAAGCTATTACGCCTCTCAGCGTATGAAGTTGCTCATTCGCGTGAGAAGGACGACGTGGCCGGCAGCAGACAGTGTACAAAATCTGTACCTGCCTGTTCATGAGTGTGTGTGTGGCAGTTATACACGTTTGTCCATGTAGGGGCACTTAATACAATATTACTTATAATACATTTCACACGGTAAGGTGTTTTTATATATCGATGTGGTATTTCTTATTTGAGCAACTAAAATGAGTGGAGCTAATTTGCCTTTTTCTTTTTCGATTGCCTTATCTTGAACGTTTGGTGTTGCAAAAACAAAAAAATGTAAAGCTTATGCCGCTTGTTGACCCTTTCGTGACTCAAATGGGTGATAAGTGATTGGACTCACGTCGTTGATACGTTCAGCTTTGTCAATGGGAGGTGCCATCGTTGCGCCGGTGCTATGTAATACTTCCATAGTCATCGCTACTGGCTCTATTGTAGGCCCTGCAATAAATTATGGTCAGCAGTCGCCGATAACTTGCCGTTGAACGGGCAGGGATCGCCGAATCAGTGGCCTGAGTCTTGCGATCCCCGTCGTGTGACTTATGCTGCCTTCAGTTACCGCCTGTCCTGTTCCATACCACTCGTAGCTCACCTGCCAGCTTTGCTTAGGTGCGTCTCATGGGAAAGCAGCTTTAAGAGATAGGATTGTCTATTAGGAATCGGTGGAAGTGGGTTGGATAAGGCAATTCCCCGAGCGAATGGTCTTGGTTGATCAGCTCGTCCTGGGCTGCTTAGCTTCCATCATCAGGCCTCGATTAGGCCTAGCTCCTCTGCTGCCTGGACCAATGCACCTTCTAACTTACATGAAATACGTCTCCCGTCTTTCCCTCGCCTTTACTTTCTTATTCCCTACTGGGGGCCGCCAATGAAGCGACTCAGACGTAGATCGGTGTGGCATGAACATCCGAGACCCGGACAATGGCTGCCTTGCCCTTCTCCTGCTATCTGCTCTCCCCGAATATCCCTGCTGCTATCATTTCACCATAGCGACCTACGAGAAATGTACGTCAATGACAGAGAAGACTACAACGTCAACTATGACAACGACGTGGCGACAACCAATAAAGATAGTACAGCGTCTACAACAACCTGCATAGTTAGTCAGAAGGAATAATTGGTTGACCAGTAGAAGGAGGTGCCTGTTCTCGTCTGCTCCACCACCGCCCCCTTTGCCGTATACAAACACGCATACTGTAGACACATCCACACGCATTCTTTCTTTCTTACCTACTGCTTTGTACAACTACTAAGACGACGATTGTGGTTTATGGTTAGGGATGAACGCTGGCTTTGCGGTTCCAAGTGCCGCCACAGAAGACTTTTAGCTACGCCTTTATGGGCCCATGGCCCCTAGCTCTGTAGATGGGTTCTGCTGGCTTCTTCTGCTGGACAATTAGTTCCTGAAGCCGAAAGAAGAACGAGTCACGACGGCAGCCCGTCCAGAACTCATTCCAAGTGCCTAAGTGCTGCCACCATCCGTTCCCTCACCATCCCCTCGATCTTCCGACCCGACTCAAGTCGTCCTATTTATCTTGTACCACGGAGTAGCAAAGCAGGAGGACGAGCTTTGGTGAACAGTAGCGGTAAAATTAAATTCCTCTAGGACTTCGTTCGTTCCCTGTAAACGAATACACTGGCGGTAGCAGCAGGCAATGAACGATGGGAGAATGAGAGAACTTGCTTGACGACTCGCTGGCCCTTAACTTCAACCTGCAGGCATACAGGAAGATTACAACTGATGTCAATTCGATTTTAGTAGCTATGCAGTATTGTCTAGCAGGAAAGGTTCGTTGAGGTCCAAGGACGGGGTTAGTTCCAAGAAGATGCTGTTCATAGGGCCAAACAGGGTGCGTAGAAAATGACGTTGGAACACCGACATCGTGAGCATAAAGTCCATAGTCGGTTAGGACCACGTAGATCTTTCCGGTAGGGATAAGAATCTTTGATGCAGAACGGGAACACTAGGTACAGAACCAGGGCGGCGCAAAGGACCAAAACGGCAACTGGGCAACGAAGCTGCCAACGTCTTAGAATGAAAGCGACCCCTCTTTCACGTAACCGCAAGCGAAGCGACGGCTGGCAATATCATTTCTAACAGACGAAAGCACAGATAACACCGAGCCACAAACAGGAATGTTTACCTAGACGACTTTTACAATACCTGTTTTCCCTTGACAAGGGAAACACTCGTATTCAGGTGTGCTCAAAAGGGCAGCAGATCCGTCGGTCGCGGTGGTTGAGGCCATTCGGCAAAAACCTAGCAGTGATTAGTGTCAGCTCTGATTTGGCCCGACGGAGGTAGAACTTCAGCATTCCTGTAGAGTCTCGTTGGTTGAAGAATAGTAACAGCGACGCCAATAACGGCATAATCAACATCACCTACAATGACGGCGACCGCGATGGTTGAGGCGCAGGGAAGGAAGCGAGTGGGCAATCGTTGATTTGCACCAGAAGAAGGTTCCAAACTGGTGGCAAGCCGACCAGAATACCCGAGTGGAACCAAACAGGGCGGCTTATCGACCAGGGCTCGACCTTATCGTACAGACAGACATGTGTGGCCAAATCAAAGACGACATGAGAAGATTCGCGAGTGTCAAGGCAAAGGCGGATGGACAGAAGACATGCGCCAGCAACAATTTGGAACCGCCGAATCAACAGCATCTTGCTGGCCACCTAATAATCCTTCGAAGTAACCCGCAACCTTAATAGAATATTAAGTGACCACTCGGTATGCGCTTTTTTAAATCTTAGCCTACTTTAGCCCGCCCCTTTCGTACTCTACACTGTGGGCCTGCTGCTTTAGTCTGCCCCAGTCATATTAAACCTATTGACCAGCTAAAGGTCAACAGATGGGTCAAAGAATACTGCCGCCTACCCCTGGTTTCTCCCTTCTACACGCAAAAAATCCAGGACCAAAATGTAAAGTGTACAAATGTAGCACTCCTTTAGGCTCTTGGGCAGGCTTCTAGCTTCTCGCCGTTGGCGTAGGTGTCTTGTCAATGCCAGCTACCTACCTTAGATAGCCCAGATAGTGGACGCTGGATCGAGCTCTCAGTGAACTGTAGCGGTAAAGCAGCTGAACGAACGAGCAAATGAAGCCTACCGCCCGCGAGTCTTTGCTGTGGATTTACAAGCTGTTAAAGTGTAGAGAAGCAGTGTGCTCAAGGTGCGAGTGGTGCTATCTCGACGGGCGGCGATTCTTGACGAAGACGTCAGGTTAACGGGAGGACCTCCGTATGAGGGCATTCGCAGCTCGGTGGCAGATTTACTAGGTCGGTTCTGCTCTTTTCGCTCGAGTAGGCTGAATAGGCTGGGACTAATATTGGTCGTCCTTCCTTGCGGCAAAAAAAAACGTCGTTTTCTTTAGACCGTTACGCTGACAAACTGATTGACTACCTCGTTAGCTGTTCCACAATTAGAACGATCTTTCACCCCTATAAGAAGCAACAAAAAAAACTGCAACTTGATAATCAGTAATGGTCATAGGTAGATGAACTAGCGTAGCCAGACATGGGATCTAGCAGAGGTTCAGTCATGGCGTACAGCTACGCTGGCACTGACACACCCACCAAGCCGACCATATGCAAAAGAAATATTTATTTTCCCCAGTTAATTCCTTACTCCTTCGTATGAAGTCAATGCTAGGCCAGAAGAAATTAAAATGTAGGTTTATGAGAAAAGTAATGATTAGTCATATGAAAATGAGGAACTTGCTGCCACAGGTAAAATATAATAAAAGTTTGCATTCTAGTATGTTATTAGTGTATCAGTATATAGGGAAAATTCATGGTAACTTTATTATAACTAAAACTTTTTTCTATTTTTGGATAAAGCATTGTTTACTTGCTTGTTGCACTTATAGAAATTAATTAGCAGTCATTTCTTGGCTGCGTCGGGCCAATCGGGTCGGGTTAGTGAAGTGCGTGTGCTGTGTCCATCTTTAGTGCTAGACGCCACCTGTTTATCTTACTTTTAGATTGCCCACTAAATTCTACGTTAAAAAAGCACAATAGACATGTATACATAATATCTTTAGCGATCATCCAGGCCGCAAGTTAAGAAGGTTAAACCGCGTTCATGCGGCCAAAACATGCTCGTACAGCTTTTATCAAATTGAGATCTTTTCATTAAGCGACTTGTTTTGTAATTGTTTATCCTTTGCAGGTTATGTGAACTACAATAATTTAAACCAGCAGCACGGGGGTCCAGGCGGGGGCCTGTCGGACATTGAAGGGAGCCATGTCTTATCATCAAGTGGAATGGGTATCGCCTGTCACAGTCCCCATAGCCCAGCTGCTGTACAGCAGCAACAACAGCAGCAACAGCAACAACAACAGCAGCAACAACAACAGCAGCAGCAGCAGCAGCAACAACAGCAGCAGCAGCAGCAGCAACACACAGATCACTCACCTTTCCCATCGCAGTACAAACGCTTTCCTTGTAGTAGAGGTGGGTGACTTCAATTTGTCCGTTCGTTTCTTTCGTCAATTTGCCTAATCTCTAGTATAGATTATCCATACTACCAATGATAGTAATAAAATAAAATAATTTACGTCTGTTAAATTCGCCAATGATTATGCGTCAGCTATTTTAGAGGTACCTGATCCAGACACTGTGTTTACATAAGTTTTACTTATTAATTTTATTATTAATATTATTATTAATTTTACTTAGCAGTGTATGCTCGCTTGAATGTAAAGTATTGTAGATGATGATGTTGCAATTTGTTGCAACATTCTATGATCAAAAAAACGCCTAGATTATAATTCTTTTTTTTTTATTGCGTAATTAGAGATTTAAGTCATTCGGGACATCTTTAAGATGGCAAAACTTGTGATCAATCCCTCAAGTTATTCGTGTCCTAAAAGATCAAAATGAATTGTGTCTACGCAAAATGACAATAAAAACATTTTCTTGGGAAAGTAGATAGCAATGATACCCTGTGTAAGTTAACATAACAGGCAAAGTAAATCTGTGTTTTTAAATGTCAGCTGTGGTTCGGGTAACATTAGAATATCTTTTTATTTCACGTAGGAAGTTTAAGATCCTCAGCTAGCGCTAAAAATATAGTGACTCTCTACTTTCGTCTCACTCCCGCTCTTCACTTAATAATATTCAAAAACTAATACAAGAATTGCAATACATCTAATCCATGCTTTTACACAGCCTTGATTCAGTAAGTTAGTTCAGTAAAATCGAAATTTGTCTGCATCTTCTCGCTCAAAGTAATGCTAGTTACTACTGACGTTCGATTTTTTAATCGACCTATCGACGCACCTTAAGCTGATTCTAATAGGTCGACGCGAAAACCTTAATTTTTAGTAAGTGCTTTACCCAGAGGCAAAATTAAATATCTCCCAATTCCAATACATCATGGATCTCAATACATGATATAATAATATATACATATAAATGCCAGTCTATGTATATGCTAAAACAAAGTGTGCCTAGAACATAGACTGAAACATCTTTTCGTGAGCAGTTCATTAAACTCTGTGTCTTTGACTTTTCTCTATAGACGTCTATGGACAGCGCTAGACCAAACACAGTTATAGACATACGTTTTAGAAAGATTTAGTTGCGGCTCTAACAGAGCCGATTAACATCGTCAGCCTTCTTTTATTCAGTAGAGTCAAAGTCCAGCTAGTTACCTTGGTCACGGCCATGCAGTCTAATTGAAGTTTGAAGAAGTACCGTCCACGTCCTTATTGGCTGTGTCCTCCAATGCCAATTTTGGTAACACTGGAACTTCTTGTGACCGTATCAGGCTAAAAGCGGAGTGGGCTTCAATCGTCAGTAGAGTGGGACGTGCTGCGTTAGTTTTCTGGGACCCACGGGTCTCTTGCCAACCAGTCAGGGGGTCTTTCAATAGTCTCTCCTTGGAGAAAAAGGAGTTGAAGCTATAAGCAAGGGCTGGGGGTGCGAGGGACAGGTAAATAGGGGCGGACGAAGTGAGGAAAAAAGTATAGTTGTTAGTGTCCGCTAGTAGGCTGACTGGTTTAACTACTAAGCATTTTAGCCAGCAGTTTGTATGCTCTTTCGCTGTCACAGCTCTAGCTGGTATCCAACCTAAGCCCGCTGCTTTACGGTTAAATCGGTAGCTACGGCAGCGCATGAACGGAAGGAAGACAGTTACGGTTAAATAAGTTACCTGAAGTTCAAATCAAAAAAAGCTGGCATCGCACCAAAGGCTAACCACCAGAATACCAGGCGCGCGTACAGCCTCCTCTGTGTCTCTGGTGCCCCTTTGACCACGCGCGGATTCCTTCTTTAAGGGAAAACAGGGTTTTAAAGCAATTTCCCCGCTCTTCCGAGGGGCGGTGGCTAAAAACCTGGTGAACGATCCATAAACTTCATTGGTCGTTTGGAGAACTAGCTAAGGCTTTACGGGAAATCGAACCCAACCGGTTGACACTTCGACTATAGGTATGGCAGCGGCAACGGTGAAGACCAACATTTTGTCAGAGTCACTCTGGTGTTTATTATTCCTCACTGGCATGTTGTATCTACGAAGAATCCGGCCACTAATAATTCCTTTGAGTACTTCTGTTTCTGAAGAGAGAAGCAGCGTGTTCGTATGGTTTTACTTGTCCCTATGGGTGTAAAGGTGTCTGTACGTCTTTGAAGAACAAAATTATCAGCATTGTTTAGAAACATCCTGCATTATCTTTACGCGGATTGTGATGAAAATCACGAAATGCACCATACAGGATGTATACGTGCATGGGGGAGGTGTTCCCTACGACAGTTTGTTGTTGATTATAACAATGTTCTATTTGTATTATATACCTACAATAAAAATAAAAAAAAGTTTAGGAAATTAGCACTTATACTTTTAATAATCGCACAGGTTTTATTGATTCCAAGGTGCAGTAAGAAATCAAAGACTTATTACAGATTAGATGTGTCTTCATTTATTTATAGAAACGTCTTCTGCTTCGCTGCTTTTAATGATATGTTAAGGTGAATCGTACGAACGAGCACAGGCTTTTCGGGAAGTAATTTTGCTTCTGCAAAACGTAAACTCCCGAGGTACAAATGCAGTTTTTTATACATTCTACCTGCTCTGAAAAATATGCTTTTCTCTCACAAATCAAGTCAATAAAAAACCTTATTTCAGGATTGGCTAAAAATAAAAGTTATGATAATTGGCTACATACTACTCGTATTAGCCAAAAAAATGCAACTCTCTCTCCCTCTCTCTCCCCCTCTCTCTCTCTCTCTCATGTATTATACTGAATTCAATTAATTTACTACTATTTTCTTTATGATATTATTTGAGAATACTTCCTTGAAAGCAGTAAATCCGTTTCAAATCGCTAGCTTTTATAACAGATATAAAGTTTTGTTTATTTCACCATTGCATCCGCACATACACTGATATTCCTCAGACTATCTAAACAAAGTAGAGTATACTAAGGCAGATATGATTTTTCTTACATACTGAAAAATGTTCGTCATCACTAACGCTACCATCTATTCTTTTTTAGCCCATCAAATGCGCGGATATGGACACGCTAGGGGTAAGCTTTTGACTGAATTTACTTATTCTTGGCAGATAATTGTTTAGGCTTAGGTGCTCTTATAATCATGCTTCTCTATCAATATGTGAAGGTTTATGCACGAAAAGATCCATGCCAGTTAGGTAACTACATAGTCATCTGAAGTCATAAAAGGCGCACTCATAGTATAATCTTTCCATATGCACACATTTACCTATCCATGAGAAACATCGAGGTTGAGGTCAGTTTAAAAGACTGTTTTGAATACATATATCTCGTAACGTTCGCATCAACGCGTTCTCGCCTATAGTTACTTGTCGAATAAAAAGTCTGGTTGCATCGTTGTTTTGTCAGAGAGTCAAAAGAAATATATGAGATAAGCCATCTTTTTTTAGTGCGTGGGGATTCAGCACAGTTCGTCCTCTTTCTACCGTATGTTCCGACGTCTCTGATATGGGCGCCCATTTTGACCCTTAGAGAAAAATCGGTAAGCTGCCGTTGTTATTGTTTGCTATTCGGAAAGCAGCAATCGCTCGGTCTAAGTTCTCCCCGGCTGCTCCGCATTGTTTGACTTATTCTGCTCTCGGCAGTGACGCATCAATCAGTTCCTTACTTGCCGACGGCCGCCGTCCGCCTCCGCTGCTAGCACGATTGGAAGCATGCAAAAAGCTTGCATGCTTCCAGTGGTGCCAGCTTTTTAGTTTTTCTTAGTAAGACGATCTCTTACTTTTTCTCGCTGTCAAGATATCTTTCATTGTCCCATTTCCCGTTTGGTCAGCGGTTCCAGAAGGAGTTGCCTAATCACTAAACGTCTCCGTTGACTCTGTCCGTTTTGTGGTCGGCTTATTTCGTTTTCAAGTTAGCCTTCAACAGAAATTAAAGTATGACTTCTCTCTACCCCTTCCTCACTGTCCCTTCCTTCTTAGTACTATAGTTCTGTCGTCGCTGAAATCAACCATGTATCCGTAAACAATAACACTGTCGGCTGCAGCTCGGAAGACCAGTAGTAACAGCGCTAACAGCAACTAGACCGTATTCTTTGATATGCCCGCGATGGCCTTACATTTGTTTGTCGCGCTAACACGGGTTCAAACGTATAAAACGAGCAGTTCCGTCACCACCGTCTACGTTCGGCTACGAGAGTGCATGTTGACTTGCTATACTAATTTGAGCCCCCGAATTTCCAAGAGGACCTTTGTTGGTGCTTTCGACAACAACAGTGTACTAGGCTCTCCTAACTGGAACGTTGCAGCAGTAGCAACACAAGTGGTAGCCTTCTGCTTACTGCTGTACCACATCGCGGCAGGGATGTCGCCCTTGCCATTGACCGCTCAATCGAAACGGTAAAGCAGACAAAACTGGGATACGCGGGATGGCGCCATGAATGTCACCTAAAGTTGCCTGAACTGAACGCTTGCCCTGAGGCAACGACATATAATTCTAGCTGGCTGGTCGTGTTGGGGGCTGCTAGAACAGCTGTCGATGCCGGAGTTAGGGTAGGCAGGGAATAACCTGAAGGAGACGCGGGGCGAACGAAAAGGGTAACATAGATGAAATTCTGTACGCATAAGAACTAGGGGAGACGATTGAGGCAGTGGCATAGACGTCGTTCGCTCCATGTCATCCCGTACATTCACGCTAAGTTAGGTTGAAGCAGAAAGAAAGTGAGAGTGTGTGGACTTCTTCGTTCCTTTGGTGGTAGGATGAGGGAGGCAGGGATGAACTGGCTGCGTTCCAAGACCGAACCCCAAGGGTTCAATGCGGAGCGAAACTGAACCGTAAGCCGAGAGAAAAGTGGCAAGAGGAGCCAATCGGCGAATAATTTTTGCCTCGGGCCGTTCTTCGATGACTTTATTGCGTCCGTGACGCTTTACCGCTCGCTAGCGAAAACCCGCTACGTTCACCTCTGCAGAAGAAAGCGGTGGCGTGGTCGGCCGTCGGCTTGTTCGCGCAGCAATCCACTGAGTCACCCGCGAAAGGTGCGGCCTCAAGTCTGCCAACCGTGGCTGTTTCCTTTGCGTCCTCCAAGTGTCCTTGCTCTCCGACGGGCCCTGTTGTGCTGTCACTATCTCCGAACTAATTTGTCACCGCCAAGGCGCGAAATTTTCAAAATGCCTTTCGGAATGGCGCATTTCCACTTTCTCTTTTCCTCGCGAAGCCTGTCTTCTGTCCAGCTACTTCCTTTCTACTAGGAGCGACAACGCGACAGTCGGCACTGTTAGTTCGTTTGGGCTCCATCCTTCTCTCGCTTTCGAGTTGCGCCTGCTCGTCCACCGCGTCTTCCTGCCCTTCCTTTTGCTATCATCTTACCAGTTTGGTCTAGCCCGAGAAGTCCACTACGCCAGACGGACAAAGACCAGAAAGGCCTTTTAGGAACGTCATGGCCTAGAGTGCCTACCTAACGGCAGCAGACTCCACGGTTGCTTGCTACGAGAGTGTTTCTTCCTCTACTCAGAATGCCCTACTCAAGAACTCACTGAAGGAGCTCTGTACGCCTTTGTCCTTATTCCCATGGCCGCTTCTACTTGTATTATTGCTCACCAACTAGATTTGTTTTTTTTTTCGTTTCGGATTCAAACGGACAACGTCTTCTGCAAGTGAATTGCCGTATATTGTGCTAGGGTAAAACGAATAAAGGAATCAGCATTGTAACTAAACTGAATGTTGTCGGGCAAGCGAATACAGAGGTTTCTGTAAACTGCTAGAGAAAAGTAAGCTTGCGTCTACCATTGTATGCGCCTGTGACCAGGTATTATCTTCTCCAAACTTTATAGTCTAGTACTAGTTATCTTAGCTTTTACCTTATATTTAGTCAGGTAAGTTGGGTGTATAGAATGGCGGTGTTATAGGCGCTGTGTTGAATTTATACGGTCAACGTGTAATATTTACATAGCGTTTCTATAGTTATACTTTGCTGCTGATCCGGTGAACCGGTGGCGAATTAACTTGGCGGATTATCAAACGCCGTAGGTTCTAGATGCCTATGATGATAATTTGACGCGGCGGTTCGCTTGACCGTCACCAGTCGTTGTGGCGGTAGCACTGTGGTAATCGCGCCTAAAAAGGAAAAGTAGCCGTAGGAGATTGACGATAGAAGAGACCAACAAGAAGAGCCCTGGAGACAACCCTCTCTACGACAAGCCGCTTCTGGCTTGTTACCGCTGCTCCGACTGTCGACGATCCTTCCGGAAGTGCTGACGTTTCCGCATCCGATTGGAACGGGTAAATGGGAAAGAAGGCTTGTCATCCCTGCCTTAGAGAGATGACATCAAATTTTGCTTGCTCTTCACCGACAGCAGTATGTCTTCCTGCGGCGTAACTGACAGACAAAAGTGTTGTCCTACAAAGACCTCCTAGACGGAGTGGGGTAAAAATGACTGAGGTAGGAGGCTAAGAAAGCGAGAAAGACCGAGAGAGACAGGGAGGCAAACTAAAACGGCTACGGTATCTGAACAACATGAGCTGTTTTGCTTTCGTCACTTTTGGTCAAAGTGGACCATTTATGCCAAGTTGGATGCTCAATGTTTTTACGATGGGGTTACGAAGCGGGATTACGAGGGCTTGACGCGGCTGCGAAACGCGATCACCATGATGAAAAATTCGCTAGTGTTGCCCACTAATTCAGTATATATATGATACCTATTCATACCACATATGCTACTGTGCATAAATTTATGACAATTATTATAGGGTATAAATTATGATGTGGACACATAGAATGTACACGTATTTTATCTAATTTATCCCTCTACGGCCGACAATTACTGAGGTAGGTTGTTATTTGTTAGTTTTCTAGCCGTCAGCTTTCCATAACTTCCTTATTTTTCTTTCTGGCTGGCTGTGGCATAGGTGATAATATTCAAAATACATTAAGTTCCGTTTTTTGAAATAACAGTTAGAAACGTCAGCATCAACTATTATTACCACATAGACTATGCCGAATAGTAAAGCGTTGAGCGTTGATACGCCATGAAACAATGATAGTTTTGACTAGCACTGGCCATACCCTCCTCTAAGCAGAGCATGCAACAGAAGCAGCACTAGCAGCACAGTACAACCCACCTCCACTCAGGAGCACAGATAGTCCCACGCTTTTCATCTCTGTCGCGTCGGCTGACGACCACAGTAGCTGCCAATAGCTAATTCCACTCGTATGTGCATGCTGATGACGTACCTGTCCAGTTGCGTGGTGAAGTTTAACCTGGTCAACTTGCCAGCCCGTTGATGGTCCTATCTTCGGCCTGTTTCTATTGCATGCGCGCTCACCGTGCTCGCTGACAACTGGCACTATTATATAGTCCACTCACTAATAGCATGGCTAGTAGTGCCATCAATGTGATTAGGATATATTATAAAAGAGGCGCAAGGCAAAGACGACGATAGAGTGTGCTTTCATATTTTTGACAAGCGGTAAGGATAGCCGGTCTGACTCGTCAGCGAAAACCGGCAATAAAGTTGACTCACGACCATGGTCTTTTGTTGGAAGTCTGTCTTCCCAATAACAAGATAGATGCAGCTAAGAGTAAAAGTTGTGTCTGCAGGAGTACCTTCTGCAGCTGGTTTAGTGCGCGGTTTGGCAGCTACACAAGTTCTTCGACCGAACAGCCAAGACCGAAGGTAATCAGTCGATTTCCTCCGTGGAATGAATACTTCTGACACTATATTATTGGTATGGCTCAACGGCCAATATGTACGATGTAGAAGAGGCGCGAAAAGTAAACGCGACAAGCAATGGGGCCTCTGCTAGTTCTCATGGAATAAAAGTGGAATAGGTGGTAGTACCTATAATATCTATGCTTTTGGACAAATGAAGGGAACAAGCGGACAAAGGTATAGCAATTAGTGGCGTTTCTTGGCAGCGAGTTGACATACAAAGGCGACTCATGCAGCAGAGGGTCATTTAGCTTAATGTTTCCATCAGTTTATTGGTTTCGTTGGCATCGAATAGCGCGGATAGCATAAGACAGCATAGAGCTGGCGGGCGACAGCGTTGATGGTGGCGATACGGAATGAATTTTGCC